TAATAAGCAACCTTCAAATCTCAGCGTCTTGTGCAACAAATGTTTATTTTTCCCTCATGCCATAGTCTAGTGTATGTTGGAGTGGAGGTGGCTTTGCTCCAGAGTTGTTCAAGTCCAAGTTCCTTCCTTCTAGGGCTCCATCATCCTGTAGGGTGGAGTCCTCCACCAGATCCTCTGTATACATCTATGAGATAGAGAGAGCATGTGGAGAATTGCCTAGGAAGGCTCTGGGGCCAAAGCTGATACTGGCATATTTCACACCTGCACACATTCCATTGGATTGAATTCAGTCACATGGACCCACTAACCACAGGGAAGGCTGGGAAACATAGCCTACAGTGTGCCCAGGGAAAAAAGGAACGGGATTTAGTGAACCATCTCTGACACAGTTTTCCCCTAGAGCACTAAACTGAGAGAAAGAAGGGGGTACATATTAGGGTGAGTGAATAGAACATCTTTGGAGAGAAAAAAATTCTTTTGACCTTCCTTGCAAGCATTCACACAAGTCTCTTTCGTTATAGCTGTTGGGAGACTGAAATACAGCTTTTTCTGAGTTTCTTGGCCAGCCTGGGTACCTAGCCACCTACTTCCCCTTTTTTTCTTCTATGAGGAAACGAAGAAAAAAAGAAGCAAGAAATTATGTTTTGATTTCTAGATAATCTATATGAATTAATACTAACTAATACTAATACAGAATGTAATTCTAGAAAGAAACTTTTCTCTTTTGTTTGACAATTTAATATTTCCCAGATTTCATGTAAGGAGCCCAGTTCTTTTGTTTTGTCTTCTTTTGATGAAATCCACTGGGCTATTTATATGCATTAGGGGCTATTCTAGCCATCCTGGGGACCAGAAGACCTCAGAAGTCAACCTAGATCTGAATTTTCAGGGTTTCCAATCTGCTTAGGAATATTCCAGAGGATGTTAATTCTGACAGTGATTACGTCTGGTAACTATCACCTGGCTTTGTGGTTCCCCAGAGTGTGCTAGATCTGGATTTGGGGACGACCCTGTAAAGTATACTACTGTATTATGGAACTAAATGTAATGAAAAATCTTTTATCGTGAAATATATGATATTAACTAATATTGGGTTCTTTACAGACTGTGGCTGCAAACTCCAACTCATCAGTGAGTAATATTCATGACATAGAAATACAGCTGAAAGATGTAAGTTCATTTCCTTTTGCTGAGTTATGGGTAAAGGGGACGAATTCATTTATTTTTAAATTTCATGGAAATTGGCAGCATTAGTGCTGTGACTTGACAAAATCTGTTGTTGAGACAGAAGAACTGAGTGGTTCGTAATCGTCTAATCTCAGTCTCTTTCCAGGCATTCAAGAGCCATGTCCTCTAAGCATGGTCTCTTTAGGGTCGAATGCCCTAGAAATCACCCACTGCTACCAAATACCTCAATAACATACCTCTCCACCTAAATCTAATTTGCCCAACTATTTTATTATAATGTAATTTAATTTACAACGTCTCCTCTTTTTCTTTATTCATGCAGGATGTACTCTTTGGTTTGAAATCCTCTTGGAACTAGGATTAGCTTTCATAGTTTGAAAAGGAGACATTTTCTTTGTACACTCAGTACTTTTTTTCTCTAGAATTTGATATGAAGTTATTTTAGATATATGGTAAAGCTGTATTATATCAAACTTATGTCTTAAATGGACTGGTGGATTTTGTTGGGAATTGAATAAATTGAGAGTACAGGACTGTTACAGTGTATTTTTTTTTAAATTTTAATATTAGATACACAGGGTATAAAATTCTCAACTTAAGTATTGGGTTAGTAGGTTGGAATTTTGATTCCAGAAATATTGCTAGCATGCCTATCCTGATCTAAGCATGCTCTGAGATTCCTGTTTTATTTAATCTAGCAAGTATCCCTTGAAGTCTATTTGATCTTCAAAAGAAGAATTTAAATGTCTTGAATATCTGTATAGCAGGGTGCTAAGTACGCTTATCAAGTGATTTACCTGGAGGTAACTGAAATCTAGATGAAACATAATTTACAATAGGTTCTTTGTTGTCAATTACACTGAACTTTATCATTCTGTGTATATCGGTAGCTACCCATTAGGTGCACATATCCATGAATACCTTACCTCCTGTGTCCCCACCATACTTACTCTGCTTCTACCACACTGGCTTTACAGCTGCTCCTTGAATATACCACCTTTTCTCTTTCTGTTCCCTCTGTCTGGGACATTCTTCCCCAGATATCTTCATGACTCACTCCATACATCATTCAGATCTTTACTTAAATGTCACTTTCTTGGGGTAGAAGGCCAGGACAGGGAGCTCCCTGGCCACCTTGTCTAAAATTATAGCACCCAGATGATTCCTATTCTTCTTTTTTGGCCCCTCATCACATATTACTATTAAACTTGGAATCTATTTTACTTACTTCTCTTGTTTAATTGTCTTACTCTTCCATTAGAATGCACGTTATACAAGGGAAGGATTTTTGTGTGTTTTGTTCACTGCCCTATCCTCAGTGTCTAAAACATTTGAAAGAAGGGTTAGATGGAATCTCGTGAAGTTTCTCAAATTTTACTAGCTCTGGTTTTCCCTTTGGAATCTCAGCAAATCTTTGAGACCGGGCAGAAAATTGTAGTTGGAGGACTTAGGAAGCAGGGAATGAGACATCTCACTCGTCGTAGTCCCCACACTGGCATGTTATTCGGCTGTTGAGAGCTCGGCAGTTTAGGTTCCATCGCCCCCTAACGTTCCCACAAAACTTCCTGCAGAAGCTTGCCTACGTATTTTAAGACTCAGTATTTGTTATGTTAAAATAGCCCTAAAAACCTATGTGTATCTTCCTTAAGGCCTAGCTATATCATTCCTCAGGTACCATGTAGATCTGTCTGACATTTTGAAATAATTATGTGGAGTTAATACTATAAACATTGTCAAATGTCAGTACTTTAAGAATTATTTTAGTACAAACTATATCAAACCAAAGGCTGGACGTGTTGCCTCATGCCTGTAATTCTAGCACTTTGGGAGGTTGAGGTGGGAGGATCACTTGAGCCCATGAGTTCAAGACCAGCCTGGGCAATAGCAAGACCTTGTCTCTACAAAAAATTTTTAAAAATCAGCCATATGTGGTGATGCGTGCCTGTAGTCCTAGCTACTTGGAAGGCTGAGGCAGGAGGATCACTTGAGCCCAGGAATTGGAGGCTGCAGTGAGCTATGATGACACCACTGCACTCCAGCCTGGGCAACAGAGTGGGACTCTGTCTCAAAAAAAAAAAAATCGTGAACAAACCAGATCAAACCAAATAGCCAAAAGGCAGTTTTAATAAGCATTTCTTGCTCTTAATTTTAAACATCTGACTTTTTAAAATTATTTTGTCTGAAAAAATCAAATTAACAGAAAAGTTATAAGAATGGTACACATAACACCCATATGCCCTTTACCAAAATGCAACCATTATTAACATTTTGCACTCTTTTTCTCTTTCAACCCCCACCCACTACCATACACACTTTGTATTTTTTCTGAACCATTTGAGGGTGAGTTGCACATATCCACAGCCCTGTAAACCTATGAACTTCAATGTATATTTCCTAAGAATGAGGATACTCTCATCCACAACTATAGCGCAGATAGCAACTCAAATAAATTTAGCATGGACACAATACTTCTATCTAATCTGCCATCCCTGTTGCAGTTTTGCCAATTGACCCACAGTTTTTATTCCTCCAGTACAGGGTAACATTGTAATCTATGTTGGGATTTTTGCCCACAGAATATCTGATGGATCTTTGTCAAACCAGGAGGAAGAGCTTTAGTAGCATTCCCCAGGACTTGACTGTGCCCATTCTTGTTCTCCATATTTATTAATAAATTGGATGAAAATGTTAAACAAATGCCTAACAAATGTGTAGATGATACAAAGCTGGAAAAGATAACTAATGTAATGATGACTCTAAAGAGTCAAAGCTAATAATGTCAACATTTATTATAGCTATCAAATCTATTCATTGATACTAGTAGGAAAGGGCAGATGCACACAGAGAGAGGTGGGGAGTAAAGACATGCTTACTATATTGGGGTAACATCGCCATCATGTGGCCTTTTAGAATTTTGCCTCTTAAATCTTCCTTTTTTTTGCTGTTGCCGGGGCTAGAGTGCAGTGGTGTCATCATAGCTCACTGCAGCTTCCAATTCCTGGGCTCAAGTGATCCTCCTGCCTCAGCCTCCCAAATAGCTGGGACTATAGGCACGAGCCACTGCCCAAGGCTAATTTTTCTATTTTTAGTAGAGACAGGATCTTGCTCTTGCTCAGGCTAGTCTGAAACTCCTGACCTCAAGTGATCCTCTCACCTCAGCCTCTCAGAGTGCTAGGATTACAGGCGTGAGCTACCGTACCCAGCCTGCTTCTTAAATCTTAAACTAACATGTATTTTGTTTTTCACGCTTAAGTAATGTATGGACAGATTCTTTTAAAAGAAAAAAAAAGAATTCATGACTATCCAAAGTTGACTTAAATTATTCGTATTAAAGTACTTTTCAAATATGAACAAATGTAAAATTTGGTATAAAATTAGGTATCTTTGATATCTAATACACTGTAATTATAGGTATTTGGATATGCACATGCTCTGTGAGTCATAGAATGCTATCTGTCTTGTCAACTAAATTTGAGTCTGAACCTGAGGTTCTCATGAGTCCTTTCTTTTGAAAGATGCATAAGGTATGAATAAGAACCTCACTGGGGATGGCAGTAGATCGAATAAGAGAATGACTACTGCAGCCTATTTTGAGATAGCCATGAATCCTAGCGTTCTTCTCAACTACACTAAATTTTCTGTAAGTTCACTGTCAAGATGTTAATATTCATATTTATTTGAGGCCAACGTTTATTATGAAAATTTTCAACATACAGAAAAGTTGAGAGTACAATGAACAATTGTATATCTACCACTAAGATTCAACAAGGATTTAGAATCAAATTACTATGATGAAAATAGCCATCCACAGAGCTTTACATATTAAAGATTATAATATAGGGTGGATATACAATATCTCCAGTTGATAAATGAACTCTTAAGCCTTACAAAGAGAATTACAGCCATACCTGCCTGACCGGTGCAGAGAGAAAAGTGTCTCAAGTGGCTGAAGAGGGCCCTGGACTAAGTCATTCCAGAGGCTGCGTCTGTCTTCTTAATCCATGTCCTAATTCTATAGAAAACACACTAAAAATCCTTTAAGCCCCATACTCAGAAGCTTTGCTCCTGA